CAGTCGGATATCTATTGAACCATAACGCACTTCTATACTTGTTGCTATGTTGCCGCTGTTAGTAATGGAGTAAAAATGGGTTTTAAGCTTCCATTAGGAATGAAAATGAAGCCAGGGTAGCTAAACAAATGATACAACGCATAGAGAGAGATAAATGGACAGATGAAAATGTAAACAAAAATATAGACTGTGTATGCGTGCCTGCGCGGAATGTATGTGTGTGTGTGTGTGTGTGTGTGTGTGTGTGTGTGTGTGTGTGTGTGTGTGTGTGTGTGTGTGTGTGTGTGTGTGTGTGTGTGTGTGTGTGTGTGTGTGTGTTTTGGCGTGTGTGTAATACTAGACCTACCTGTCGTCGTAAAAGCAGTGAGCAGCTGTTAGAATCCACCTTCTCTTGATGATGGAGCCCCCGCAACTAAATATCTCAGCGCCTATTCTGATAATTAGCGCCACCTGGTAAGGATATTCCCCATCAGACGCGGCACTGCCATTCACGATCCGGTTGTCGGAGGCGCTGATGGAGACGAGGCCGCAGCCATCTGAAGGCAGGCAATACGTCATTGTTACATTGAATAGTTATAACAGTACGTAACTACAATTATGTATTCCCCATCTCTTTGATTTGAAAAAATATATATTTTCTCGTATTCCTTCATCATTGTGTCTCTTCACCATTGTGGAACAAGATACTCACCACAGTAAGGTCTTGCTACATCTGGAGAAGCTGCATAAAATGTAAGAATAAGTAAAAGAAACTTAATGGGCATTTCTTCAAGAGTCAGTTGTCAATTTATGAATAGAACAATATAAATACATACACACAAAACAAATTATCTTACTTTCCGCTGTGAAAAGTTGACATACAAATCCTCCCGAACACTCCTCACTCTTTAATGGTTTGCGCTTGTATTTCAAGGTCATTTGGTTCGTTGATGTGAAGACTTTCTTGGGAGCATCTGTTGTGCAGTACTTTCGCCTGTGGATCATTTATTGGGGCCAATTATATGCTTTGACTGAAGGTCGTCACACTAGCACTTTTATCGAGCGTTTCCACATGAATTTGAGGCTTTCTGTAGGTACAGCATGCATGGGACTGTTCTCTTGTGATTAATTTCTGTCTTGAACTTGTTCCGCTCAGGGTCTATACTGCTACAGTATTTTTATTGATAAATAAAATAAAATCCTGATATTCTAGAATATTTCTATATACAATAAAGTAGTCTTCTTTACACTTGAACACACATACACAATATATATATATATAAATATATATATATATATATATATATATATATATATATATATATATATATATATATATACATATATATACTGTGTGTGTGTGTGTCTCGGATTATTAATAGATATATTATTAGTCGATATATCGGATATGATACTGCCAAAGTATGATATGTACCTATATGTACTTAAAGAATATAAGAACATGCATGCATATACACAGATGAAGAATTGCCTTTGCACTATAAACACACAGGGGGTGGATCTTAACTCCAAAGACATTAGAAATTCAAGATATGAGAAGTATTTTCAAGAAAGCTCTAAAATCAATATGCATTCTTACAGTACATCCCACAGCACAAGCAACCTCTCGCCTATCTTATAGGAGTTTTAACAATTAATATATATGCAAAAAAAATGTTACATGTGCTTCTCAGCGATCCGCATTTCATGAGGTTTGAACTAAACGAAATACTACTGAGAACTTGTTTGTAAAGAAATGTACAAATAACGACAATGCAATGATAAGTACTACAATTATTTTGGTGCATGTTTGATGGAAAATAAGAAACATCTGCATTATCAGCAATATGTACATGATATCTATCGCCTGCAAACCTCCAAAGGTTTACCTTATCTTTTGACCACCGGTTTTATAAGAAATCTCCAAGAATTCGCTTCTGCAGCCGGCGCTGTTGAGGTTGAAGGTGAAACAGGAAAAGCCGATCGTCGCGCCTTTGGGTGTCTGTCGTAGGCATGAAAGGATTATTCAGTTGCGTTGTAGACAGACAGAAACACACACACACAATCATAGTAGAAAATATAAGCATATTACATAATAGATCTTCATACCTGGCCTCATATTTTTTTTACTTAACTCAGATCAAACTTACCCTCACTTTACGTTTGCACTTTTCTTTCTGCCTATCGTTGTTACTATAGATGATGATGGACTCACCGTGACCCAACAGGATTTTGTCTTCGCATACGTTAACGGCCCCTGGTAATGAGGGTAATTGTGATAATGTGATGCCGATTACAATAATAACAAAAGCATGCTGGTAACGATAATAATACTGATTATGATACTAGCAATAGCGAAAATAACGAAAATACCACTGAAACTAATATGGTTATAACTGATTGCTGCGTGGAACACTTAAACGGTTGTTGTCGTTAGGTTATCATACGATAAACATATCATTAACAAGTGGCAATAACACCAAGAAAAATACTAGAACTTAACCTTACCCAAGTTTTTCAT